AAAAAAAAAAAAAAAAAAAAAAAAAAAAAAAAAAAAAAAGAGATTAAATTCTTGTCAACACAAGGAAACTTGGTATCAAGGTCAAAATTCAAAGAGATAGATACAATGAGGATTCTAGGAAGTAGGATTCACCCAATTACCTCCTCAAGAAAACAAAGGGTGCACAACCCTCCAAGCTGGTTGAATGAAATGTCTACCACAATATTCTCAACAAGACACTTTATAATCTTCACCTGCAAAAATGAAGAAAAATATTGCAAGCAAAATAGAAATTATATAATCCAGTAGTTGTCCAAAACCCACATAAAATTTTAGACCAGCTTAAATTAAGTCAGGCAGCTGAAAAGAATTATAAAACCATTAGCTTATGCCTAAAATTTTGACTTCCGCAATTAAGAATATATGGTTATCACATCCAGACCAAAAACTCTGAAGTTTAATATTAATTTAGTAATTAGTAATCAAATTACAGGTTTTTCAGGCCAGAAACAATTTACCTACTAAAGTCACGTGACTCAGTTCAGTTAACATTCACTCCCGTGTTTCAATAATAAACCAGTGTTTTTCCATCAGAAGAATATAATATAATACTTATACAACTTAAAACTTGCATTTCACAATTATTATTGGGTCACTTCATATCCATAATCAGGTATTATGACTTCTCATATCCATACTCACGTCCAATGACCTAAAGTGGCTGCAACAATCTATCTACAGAACCACTAAAAGTCTCATGATTTAGTCAGTTCCATAATAACACCTCAAATCTTATTTCATCTATGATAGAGACTGCAAACACAAAGATAAACAATTCTAAAAAATGCTGCATTATATGATAGAACCTACTTCAGCCTGGATGTACTGAACCTCTTTGACACGAAACTCTGCATTTTCATCCTTTTCCTCATTTATCAGCATGTCACGAACTTGGCGTACCCACGCATCCTTCAGAGTTTGATTCTTACTGAATGCTGTCAAGTCAATATCTCCATCAGGTAAATAAGTTTTGAGGGGTACTGACCCAAAGGTGAACACCTGTAATAAATCATGAACGATAGTGCTTGGTCCTAGCAGTCTCCAATACTTCAAACATCATACGATAATGCAGCTAAAGCAGCCCATAATCAAAAGCTCTTGATCAAACAGTCATGTTCAATCTCAGAATGGTTACAGAACATATTTGTTTGAGCACACAAGACAACAAAACCCACCTGGCAAGGGAAGCACTTCGTTATCAACCGCTGCACATAGTCTGCAACTGCATGGCGACGCTCCTCAGATGGCGGATTAGGCTGAATGCAGGCAATTAGCTCTGCAGTCTTTTCCTCGGCCTTTAACCATCGCTCCTTGTCAAGCACTCGCATCACCGATGCGGTCTCATTCGGCAGCAAGCCATTTGGCAATATCTCACTTGGTGGCTGTGCCAACCCCTCATGCTCTCCCATACAACCCTAAGCTTTCCCTTTGAAAACTCTTCCTACAAAACCTAACAACCCAACCCAACACACTGCCACACCACTAATGGAGGCAACAAATGAGAGGGAAACTTTGCTGGTGGAGAAAAAAACATAAACAATACAACACAAACCTAGGATTTCTTTTTCCCTCCGAAGTAGAAGTAAGCAGCAGAGTACCACTTAACCAATTCTTGGCATGTTTCAAAAACAACACTAAAACACAGAACCTAAAACAATATCATAGTGCACAGCTAATATTAAGTGAATCCCAAGATAGGAAAAGGAAGGTAATCAAAAAATACAAGAAGAAAAGCAAATGAATAGGAAATGTTGAGGGTTTATTTATTTTAATTTTTCAAACAACAGTATAGTAGTTGAGATGATTAAAACCCTAATGGAAAGTTGTGAATCGCATTTACTGTAGGACTGAAGTGTGGGCGTAGCAACAGTGACACGAGAGGAGCGAAGAGGGCAAAAATGGAAATGCAGGGAACATCCGTTGGGTATCAAATCCAATGGCTAAGGATAGAAAACAGAACGAGGATTCCAAATGCAGATTATTATTAATGGGTGTTGAAGTTAAGAACGTTGCGCCGTTTTCTTTTAGGTTCTTGAAATTGAAAATATATTGGGAAGAAGAGGGTGTGATAGGATAGAATCTGGAGAGAGAGAGAGAAAGAAGAAGAAACAGGGAAAGAAAGAAAGAGGGATACAAGAAACAGGAAGAGGAAGATTGAAAATAATAATAATAATAATCTTTCTTTTTTTTAATGGATCGTTTTTATGTCTGTTAATGGGTCTCTTTACATACATGATCAAATATATTGAAAGTCCAGCCCATTATTGTTGCCGATCCACACGCCATGGTGAACTGAAACACTAACTTAACAATTTTTATTTTTTTTAAATTTCAGTTTCATTGACTGTAACAAGATAGAGTTGTTTGATATAGAAAAAATAGGTGAAAAATAGGATAGAGAGAGTAAAATAAAATTGATTGTTTGAATGAGAAAAAAAATAAGAGAATAGAAAATTAAAAAATGTTAGACCTGATTCTCTTATTTATTTCTCTCTCTTCTTTTCTATAAATCTTGTTTTTTTTTATACATATTTTTCACTTATTTTTTACTTATTTCTTCTCAACTAAACAATCAAATTTTTAATTTATTTTTTATTTATTTCAATTCATTTTTTTATTTCTCCTCATTATATTCTTCACCTATTTCATTCTTCTGTATCAAACACAAGTTAAGAGTGTGTTTGATTTGAGAAAATATTTTCTATTTCTAATTGTAAAAGAATATTTTTAAAAAATTTCTTGAATAGAGAAAATTGTAAAAATGTTTCCAGTTGTTTATCTATTTCTAATTTTATTTTATCATATTTATTTATTAATTAAATTTTAATAATTTAAAATAATAAAATTTTATATATTAAGTATGATCATCTTGCACCAGTGTGCATTTTTAAAAATTTTAATTAGACGATTTTTAAGAGTTGCTCTGATTTTTTATTTTTAAAATTTTTATTTATCGTATTTACTTATAAATTATTTTTTATAATTTTAAAATAAATTATCAATAATTAAAAATAATATTTTGTCACAACAAAAATTATATAACATAAATATAAAATTTAATTCATATATTTATCTTTATATATTAAAGACAAATGAACTACTAGGGTTAACCTAGTAGTTGGGTGGGGAGAGGTTAGTGTAGAGGTTGAGTGAGAATACTTTAAAGATTTTTTTTGTGAGAGAAATTTTAGTGATTTTTTTTATAATTTTATTTATTATATTTATATTTATCATAAATTTAAAATGTTTTTATATATTTAAAACATATATATAAATAGAATTTAAATATAATATTTATAGATATATATAATTATTATAAATTTTAGTTATAAAGCATTATAACGACTTCTAACGATAATGAGTTGAAAACAATTTCAAATTGTGTCTTTGAAACTTTTATTTTTTGAAGAAATAATAATAAATTTTTATATCTTTTCATCAACAAGCAAGTAATTATTTTTTAAAATAATTACATTTGCTATTTTCAGTGGCAGTATCACAAAAGTACTATTACATTCACTAACATTGGTTTTATTTTTCTGTCTTATTGGGATATTTGTGTTACAAACATGAGAAATCATCCCTTTGATGATAGCTGATTATTATACTATACTATAATCTCGTATGTACTATTTTATCCTGATAATATGAACAAATTACTCTGTTTTCATTAAAAAAAAATATCACATATGTACTATATATTATCCTTTCCTTTTAGGGAAGACGGAAGGTAATTTGCCTCGACTGTGCATTCAGATGGTTGGAATGGTTTCGTTCTCTTGCTTGTGGTTTTGGGTGCTATGCATAAAAAATCAGTAGAATATTTTTTCTTCTATTTTCTGTAAGAATTATGGACATTGATATGCACAAGGCAAAGGTTTTTAAATATGGAGTAACAGATAGATACTAGTTACTACCCTACTTATTTAGAAATATAAAAATAAAATGTTTGATCATGATCTTGAAGAAAAAGAGTTTTTAAACCCTTGTGAGTGAGACCATCTCCTTTGTCATCAATCTGCATGGCTCCAAGTTCTGTTCATGGCTCCAAGAGTGTGGTGACGGTGATGTCAATAGTGGCCACAGCTGATTAATCCGTTGCTTCCTCACTCTGCGAACAAGAGTCTTTGAATGTTGCCTCAAGACTCCATTCATAGCTTTAAGGTAGTTGCTGGAGTCATGGTCTCTTAGAATTGAGCCTGCTGAACCATACGCTGTTGGATGACTTAGTGTGTGAATAGGGTGTGGTTGATTCAGGAAGGCTTTTAGAACACTTGAAGAGTATCCACATTTAGTATTGTCCAAGACATAGAAGGCACTTCCTGGAGGGAGTAAAGGATGCGGAGGAGATGTCTTGTCATTGGGTTGGAGAATGAATATTTTACCAAGTGGTGAGTATAACAGCTTCTGAAAAAAATCCAGAGAAAATGGATGAATATTTTACCAAGTGGTGAGTATAGTTCATGATTTTTGAGTATTATGATGCTTACATTTTTTAGCAGACAAGGATGTGACCTAAATGAGCTGTTTAAGCGTTTAAGGACTACAGCAACGTGATTTGGGTAATTGCAGGAGAAGGCTCTAGGAACAATATCTCTATGCATCATCACACTGTGGATGTGGCTCTCATCCAGACCAAGTTCATTGATTATTTGTTGGCCTCCACAAAACACAAATGGTGAGCCAAAAGTGACAACTGGTCGAAGAGTGGAGGGACTAACAACCTTGTTAGTCAATAGCATCAAATGAACCAAAAGAGAAAGACTACCCCCAAGGGAGTGCCCAGTGAATTGAAGCTTTGCGCGATCCCCGTGTCTCTTCAAATGGTCCATTATTTCCGGCATGAATTGCTTGTATATTCCTTTTGCAGCTTCATAAATTCCTCTGTGAACAAGTACGTCTGTGCCCTGTAAGAGAAAAGATCCTTAGTCATACATTATTATTTTAAGATTGTAACGTCTAAATTAAAGAAGACACATTCTTACCTCGAATTTGGTTGGCTCAAAGAAGAGGTTTGCTTGCCAAGATGCCAGGGAGTCTGACCCCTGCAACATAGAACAAAATTGCACGTGTCAGTCAAACTTGAACAATGTATAGCCTTATGGTATGGATCAGGATAGCAAAGAGTGATTAAGAAATAACCTGAATTACAAAGCATCTAGTGTAATTGTTGGGATCATCACAAACAAACCATTCACAAGGTGAGGAATGAAGTGACTGGAGATCCTTTGCTGCTTCTTGCTTTTCCTTCTCCCCTGCTGCAACCATTGCAGTCATTGTGGATGCCGCAACATAAGCTGCAACCTCTGATTTGTAACCTCGTGAAGTGCCTTCTAGATCTTCTCCTTTTTCATTAGAATCTTCATTTTCACCCTGTTGTGACCTAGCAGCATGGTACATGAGTCCCTTAGCTCGTAATTGAACATAAGAGGCCGCTGAGGCAGCAATATCATAAGCTACTTGCATTTGATGCTTCGGTGTAGTATCTTTGCCTTTCTCTGAGACATCTTGAGAGACTACCGGGTCATCTATAGGAACGCGAGTGGAGTCTTGATCAAGTTTAACTTTTAACTTGGCCACTTCGGCTTTCTTTTCTAAAGAAGATGTTATAAATTGAAGGTTGTAGTATCTTCGCAAGTCCTTAGCCTGCAAATTGATTGACAGGAGTTGTTTGATTGTGTTTCTTTTTTGATTCTTACATGAAAGAAAGGAAAACGAATAAACACATATGAACTCTCATATTACCTTGATTTGGGGTATTACATAGGCCATATTGCACAGGAAAGCAAGTTGAGAGTATAGTTTGGTATCAGACCATGGTACTTGAACCAAAAACTTTGAGAATGATTCACGATCATATGTCACTTCATGCTCATCTTCGTCTTCACCAACCACACAAACACTGTCATCTGCATCACATTCACATTCATCATACTTATTGCTGTTGCATATCGCATCTGGGTCCATGCTTTCTTTTGGTAATCTGTTTCTCCAATGTTTCTTGATTTCCATAAGTCTCTCTACCCAGTTGGCTCTATTTACAATCTCTTCTTTGCTGCTTTCAACCATGTTTTCCTCAATACTTACCTCCTTATCCCCCACACTCATATCCTTGCTTGTTTCTGGGTCAAACAACAAGGACCGCAGTGAATTTGGAAGAATGGAGCCTGAAAATTGGAATGGAGAAATTCCCAATGACCGATTGCTCTTAAGTTTTGGTGACACTGATGTGGCTTGTGTGCGATTGATGCAGCAACATAGGTGGTTATCAGAATAAGACCTCCGCATGATGGAACGTGTGCATAGTTCTGTGCTGGATTGGGAACGACGAAGACCATTATGCTCTTTTGCAATGTCCGTAGATGCAGAGATAGCTGCTGGAGAGGTAGGCATGGCAACTGCAGTGTGAGCCATGCTTGTAACTTTTATATCAGATAGCTAGATCCTTCACTTTACTTGGTCTCTGTAGATTATAAATGATCAGACCTCAAAGCTTGATGTGTTGTGTTGTGGTTATTGAAACAAGTACAAAATATGGATTTTATAACAAAAACTTACAACAACTATGTTTCTTGTTATCAACGAGGATCTTCTTAAAGATGTTCAAACTTCACATCTGCTCATATTAGTTAAATTACTTTACCTATCAATGAATGCAACTCCTAAATCAAGGTATAGACGAAAACATCGTTATGCGGTGTGTTACAACCAAAGCCAAAACATAGTTAAGCTCGAGACCGTGCTTATTGGAAAATATTGACAACTAAACCGTTGGACCAAAGGAATGAGTGAAAGACATGACATGTTCGTTGAATTCTATGATTTCTGAATAAAGACATTTACTAGATAGCTATTTGTCGTTGTATGTGCACATGGAGATAGTATGGGTTCATGAGAGGGAAAAAAGTTACAGCAAAGAAAGAATGGGGGAGAAACAAGTTTCATTTGTTGTTTGAAAATGAAAACAAAAGGCACTATTTTGAACTTGGGTTCTCTTTATTAAAAAGAAAAGATTACTATATTACTTTAATTTATTGAAATCTAGGATTTATGTCGTTATATATTTGAGTTAACACAAATTATAAACCGATGTTACTCGATAAGTAAAAATTATTATATTTAGTTTGCAAATTCAAAACAATAATGTGATAATATTTTTTTGGAAATATTACCCAACTATATTCCTTAATTTAGTTAGTGAGGGTTACATCTGAAATTGTACCATAATTTTCTTGGAATTGTCACATATTTAATAGATCACGCTTTCAACCGACATGGTAGGAAGGAAAAATTAAAAAGAAAAAGACTTCCTCCACAACTTAAATAAACACTATTAAATAGCAGTAGTAGTATACCAAACACTATACTTTTCCACACACAAAGTACCAAACAAAATAAAAGCATTATACAAGGAAAGGTACCTTGGAATTACCGATGTAATATTACTAACATATTCTTCTCGTTGCGAAAGGATGAGCCTTTAAAAGAAAAAATATCAATTGTTCTAACTACTTTTAAAATTATTTGCACACCAAGTTAGTTAATATTTTTGATAGTCATCAATCACGATACTTAACATGCATGTGCATGTAATTCAAGTAAAGAAAAAAGGCGAATTTATAGCATTGTGAGTGCTTAATCAAGTGTTATTAATTATATATTTTAAATACACGTGATATAAAGATTAAATGAAAATTATTAATTTTATTTTATAACTTAAAAAAAACTATTAAATACATGTGATACAAAGATTAAATGAGATTATAACCACTCCGGCGGCAACGAACTACTTATTAATTTCTTTCTCCCAAGTATGCGGGGAACTTATTAACCAGATAAATTGGAAGTGCAACCCCTACCTACTTTGTAAATGTTTCAAAAATCAATTGATGTGTAAAAGTAATTAAGTTATACAAATATAAAAATGATTTTGAGAAAAACATTTTACAAAACCATCACTTGTTTTAAAGAAGAAAGGGAATTGGATGGAGAATGAAAAGTAGTCTCTCATGGATAGTTTTTATTACAAAAACAAATCATTAAAAAAGAAAAACAACAATGACCAAAAGCCAAGGAAATTTATGAATCACAACCAGTTTTCCCATAGGCATGCAAGCAAAATTGATATAGAAAGAGAGAGATGAGATGACAAAAGAACTTGGTTTATAAAAAAGGAGAAAGCTTAGAGATCAAATGAGCAAAACTATGAAAATAACTGACACTTGTTACATGATTAATCAATGCAAGGACCAAGGAGGTGAAAGAGAAGAAGAAGTGAAAAACAAAGAATATATATATATGTATATATACCTAGAGAGGCGCAGGTGAGCAATGAATGCAGAGAAGAGAAGTACTATTGAGAGAAGACAACCACGAAGTTCCACACAGATGGAAGCTTTCCGCCAATGGCGTGCATATGAGGGAATCTCGCAATTTAAAAGTGAATAAAATAATATAATTATAAGTGTTCAGATCAGATGCAGGACCCTTTTCTTCTCTCTGCATGTTTTTAGTTTTTACAGAAAACTGAGGAAGAGAAGTGATAATAAATGATTTACAAACGACCATGAGAGAATATACTCACGTGGGGTCTCTAATCTTCAAACCAAAGGGACCAAAATATCCTTTTCATTTTCCTTCTTTTCCGTAAGTCCTGATAATTTTTGTTAATGCAAAATCAAACCGAGCTATTTCTGTGTTCGTGTTTTATTTCTATTAGTATTTTAGCGTCCATACCGATGTAATTCTCATATATAGGTAATTATTATGTATTTTAATATATAAATTATTAATTCAAAATTAATATATTAAATATTTTTAAATATATAAATTATATTTTATGTTTATAAAAAAATAATTTTATATTTCAATACAATATTATTTTTAATTATTGATAAGATAAGAGATAAAAGTATTATAAAAAAAACATATAAAAAGAATAATATAAAATTTTAATCTTTATAATAGGATAAGAAAATATATCTTATTGGTATATCAAATAAATTATTTTTAATTTTTAAATATATAAATTATAATAATTATTTATTTTGTAAACATTTTGTTATTATCATTCTCACTCATTTTTATTTTCATTTTAAATATTATCTCTCGACATCTTTTTTATAATTTGTTTCAATTTTTAATCTTTTATCTCTTTAAATATATCAGTATATATATATATATATATATATAT